TACCAACATATATATTGTTGTTTACATATATTTTTTTGAAATCTAATAAAATATTATTCTTTTTTTTTTAAATTTTAGCCTTAATTGTAGAAATAAAAATATTAAAATAAAATTAAATGCATAATTCGATTTTTCGCCCAGTATGAATTTTTTTTTTATTACATTTGGTTCATAGATGAGATCTTTTTTTTACAAAGAATCAGTATCTAGATTCTTTTATTTGAGGACTTGCCCAACTGATGAAAAAGACTAGAAATCTGATGTGGGGTATTAGTTTACCTTAGATATACTTACGAGATCAAAAGGCATTGGTATTGAAATTAAGACAAAAGAAAGATCTCAGGATGCTTTAGTAGAGCACAAATCTATATTTGCCGCCATTTCAATAATTTTTTAAATTTCATAAGTAAAATGATGGTAAAATATATTTATAACTAGGTAAAACTTATCGCTTCAAAAAAAATATAATTTATAAATTTTTAATTATATAATTAAAAATAAAATTCTATAATTGAGTCCCCAAAAAGGAACCATAATTGTGTCTAAAAATTTCTATTTGAATTTTTTGTCGAATAAAAAGAAAATCTCTAGGTTCATTTGTGAAAAGTCGTATTTTATTACCCAGATTTTTTTAAAACATAAATGTTGAAGGCGAAAAATGCCCATTGTAGAGGTTACTACAGGAGTGAATATGAAGTTTTTAAAATTTTTATATTTGTCTTTTTAATTTCTGCCTGTGTTATTAAATTGAAATTTATGTTTGAAGGGGATGATGAGACCGTATCAGGTCGGTCAATTCAGTGAAACTTTTATAGCGAAGGTAAAATCGCGAAATTGCGTTTTATCTCCGCGAAACATTTAAAGCGAAGACAATTTCGCGAAGCCATTGTTGCGAATTTATTTTCGCGAAACCTTAACCGCGAATTTATTAGAGCAAAACATTTTACGCGAACATTTTACAGCGAATTTTTTATCGCGAATATGTTAGCGCGAAGTATCGCGTGAGCATTATTGCGAAACAATAAATATATTGCGAAACAATAAATATATTGCGAAACAATAAATATATTGCGAATGCATTTATTTAAAGGAAAACAAGATATTATTTATTATTTGATGTTTTTAAATAAAAAATGATATGCTACTATTGTAATATTATTTTTGTTACAATTTATTAGTGATTTTCACATCCAAGATTTTAAGTAAAAAATATTTCTTGAAGTTCAAAAAGATTTTTTAACAAAAAAATTTTAAATCTTCTTTGTAAAGATATCTGTTTGAGGAATTCTTTTATGAAATTTATTATAAATATTTAAGTGAAATCTTTTATAGTTTCTTTTATCATTTTTGTAAAATTATCTCTTATTAAATAATATTTTTTAAAAATATTTATATTCAACTTATTTATGTTATTTTATATGATATTTTTAAGGAAAATAATTTAATGAGACAATTGTCATATTCGTTATTTTTTAAGATAAATTTTTTGACTCAAAAGGATAAAAATATCATTTATATTGTAAAGATGTTAAATTATAAATTCAATGAAGATGTTCATTAGAAATATGGCAATTATCATAATCGGTATTTATAAACATATTAGATTTTTTAACGCTAATGGGCAAAAATATGTATTTTTAACATGTTAAATTATAATTTCAATTAGTATGTACCATATAAAAGGGTCAATTGTATAATCATTATTTTTAAAGTTTTTTACAATTTTTTGATGTAAATGGGCAAAAATATAAATTGTTACATGTTAAAATAAAATTTCAGTGAAGATGTACCATAGATATAAGTTACAATTGTCATAATCGTTGTTTATAGAATTTTTTTGTTGCAAATGGGTAAAAATATAGATTGTAAACATGCTAAATTAAAATTTCATGAAGATCTACCATAGAAAAGTGACAATTGTCATAATCGTTATTTTATAACTTTTTTGACGTAAATGGGCTAAAATAAGTATTGCTAACATGTTTAAATAAAATTTCAGAGAAGATGTACCATGGATAAGTTATAATTGTCATAATCGTTGTTTATTTTGAATTTTTTTGTTGCAAATGGGTAAAAATATAGATTGTAAACAGATTAAATTAAAATTTCATATGTACCATTGAAAAGTGACAATTGTCATAATCGTTATTTTTAAGTTTTTTGAATTATTTTTGACCAAAATGGGTTAAAATAAGTATTGCTAGCATGTTTAAATAAAACTTAAGTGAAGATGTACCCTAGATAAGTGACAATTATCATAATCATTATTTTTAAATTTTTTTAACGCAAATGGTTAAAAATATAGATTGTAAACATGTTAAATTAAAATTTCATGAAGATGTACCATAGAAAAGTGACAATTGTCATAATCGTTATTTTATAACTTTTTTTGACGTAAATAGGCTAAAATAAGTATTGCTAACATGTTTAAATAAAATTTCAGTGAAGATGTACCATGGATAAGTTATAATTGTCATAATAGTTGTTTATTTTGAATTTTTTTGTTGCAAATGGGTAAAAATATAGATTGTAAACAAATTAAATTAAAATTTTATATGTACCATTGAAAAGTGACAATTGTCATAATCGTTATTTTTAAGTTTTTTGAATTATTTTTGACCAAAATGGGGTAAAATAAGTATTGCTAGCATGTTTAAATAAAACTTCAGTGAAGATGTACCCTAGATAAGTGACAATTGTCATAATCGTTATTTTTAAAGTTTTTTTTAATTTATTTGACGCAAATGGGTAAAAATATAGATTGTAAACATGTTAAATTAAAATTTTATAAGGATGCACCATAGAAAAGTTTGTCATAATCGTTATTTTTAAAATTATTTAAATTTTTTAGACGCAAATGGGCAAAAATATAAATTGCTTATATGTTAAAATAAAATTTCAGTGAAGATGTACCATACATAATTTACTATTGTCATAATCGTTGTTAATAAAGTTTTTTTGTTGCAAATGGGTAAAAATGTAGATTGTAAACATGCTAAATTAAAATTTCATGAAGATATACCATTGATGACAATTTTTAAAATCGTTATTTTTAAAGTTTTTTGATATAAATGGTTAAAATATAGATTGTAATCCATTTTAACCATATAAAAATAAAATCTTAACATTAAATTTATAGGATCTTGATTGTATCATATTACTAAATAATATTCATATGGTTTTTAAGTTCTTTCTATAAAAATCCTACCCTGAATTCAGACTCAGCACTATTTTGCCACGATTATACAAAAATATTTGCTAACTGTGAATGCAAGGTTATACCTTTTTATAATGTAGAATTAAAATTTATTAATTAAAGGAATAAGATTGTGAATCCATATCTTAAAAGTTTATAATTTAACATAGGTTACAACTATCTTTAATAATCACTTTGCATATTTTTATCAAATTTTAAGCAAAAGGAACAACGATTATGAGCATGAAAATATAGATTTGTTTTGACTGAAATTTTATTTTAACATGATAACAATTTATATTTTTGTCCAATTGCGTCAAACAATTCAAAAACTTTAAAAATAACGATTATGACTATTGTCTTATATAGGGTATATCTTCCCTGAAATATTATTATAACATGTTAGCAATTTATATTTTAGCCCATTTGCTTCAAAAAAATTTAAAAACTTTTAAAAATAACGATTATGACAATTGTCACTTTTATATGGTACATCTTCATGAAATTTTAATTTGACATTTTTACTACATTTTTACCCATATCGAAAAATTTCAAAAAACTTTAAAAACAACGATTATGACAATTGTCACTTATCTATGGTACATCTTCATTGATTATTTATTTTAACATGTTAGCAATTTCCATTTTTGCCCATTTGCGTCAAAAAAATTTAAAACTTTAAAAATAACGAATATGACAATTGTCACTTATCTAGGGTATATCTTCACTGAAGTTTTATTTAAACATGTTAGCAATTTATTTTTTGCCCATTTGCGTCAAAAAACTTTAAAAATGATTATGACAATTGTCACTTATCTTAGATACATCTTCACTGAAGTTTTATTTAAAAATGTTATCAATACTTATTTTGGCCCATTTACGTCAAAAAAAGTTTAAAAATAACGATTATTACAATTGTCACATTTCTGTGGTACATCTTCATGAAATTTTAATTTAACAAGTTTACAATCTATATTTTTACCCATGCATCAAAAAAATTTAAAAATAAGGATTATGACAATTGTCACTTATCTAGGGTACATCTTCACTGAAGTTTTATTAATACATGCTAACACTACTTATTTTAACCGATTTACGTCAAAAAAATTTAAAAAACTTTAAAAATAACGATTATGATAATTGTCACTTTTATATGGTGCATCTTAATTGAAATTTTAATTTAACATGTTAAAAATACATATTTTACCGTAAAAAATCTAATATGTTTAAAAATTCCGATTATGATAATTGTCATTTTTTAAGGAACATCTTCAATAACGAATATAAAAATTGTCAGATTAAATTATTTTCCTTAAAAAGATCATATAAAATAGATAACATAAATAAGTTAAATAAAAATATTTTTTAAAATATTATTTAGAAAACCCACCTCTTTTATTATACTTAAAAAATAGATAATTATACAAAAATGATAAAAAAAACTATAAAAGATTTCACCTAAAAGATTGTTTATTTATAATAAAATTCACAAAAGAATTCCTCGAAGAAGATTTAAAATTTTTATCAAAATATGTTCAAAAATCTTTTTGAACTTCAAAAAATATTTTTTGTTTAAAATTTTGTTCGTGAAAATCACTAATAAATTGTAACAAAAATAATTTTACAATAGTAGCATATCATTTTTTTCATTAAAAAAATATCAAATAAAAGTAATCCATTTTTTATTTCATAATATAATAATATAAATAAAAAATATATATCATAATAATATGTTTATTTGTTGATAAATAAAATATTAACATTAAATATAAATTATTTTAATAAAAATAAAAAAATAATAATAGGCCGCGTTATATTTCGCTAAATAGTTTTCGCTATATTGTCTTCGTGATTTATGTTTCGCGATAAAGTTTCGCTAAAAAGTGTTTCGCCGAATAGACATGGAACCCATTTATCATTTAAATCTGTCCACTAAAAAATTGAGATAACACTCAATGAAAATTGTTATATTTGAAAACTTATCGTTATTTGAATATGATATTTATTAATTATATATTCTAAGTTTTATTATTGTACATATGCCGTATAATTTGAAAAGTTTTTTTATCACTTGAATAAGAAATTAACAATACTTCAAAATATTACTGATTCAAATTATATTACTTTTCGGTCTAACAGGGCCGTAGCCAGGAATTTTCAGCTAGGGGGACCAGCTACTTATATGAGGGGGCCTTTAAAATAAAACAAATAATTAAGCATTCGATTTTTATTTTTAAATTTTAACATAAATGAATTAAAGGATAAATTTTATGTTATTTATTTTTCAAAAGCCATTAATACTAAATTTTGTTTACGTGGATCTTTCATCGACCCTCCAGTGCTAGATAGAACTCTCTTTATTGTAGAGAAAGAGACCACACAAGAAACCGTTGGTACCCTAAAGATGATGTGTTGAGTAGAATTTATACAATTCTTTAAATGCATGATGATATTTTTTTATACATAATATTAAGGATATTTTCAAAATTATGTGTCTCTTTAACTTCTGCAGCTAATAATCCTTTAGTGATTTTTATTTCATGATGTAACGTTTCCATATTTAAGTTTAATAATTCGGGTCATTTTATCCGATATAAAATAATCTGGGTCAAAGGTGGACAATGTATTAAAACATGATAGAAGATTATAGTCATCTTGTGTAAATATCTAAAAAACGATTAACACAAACAAAAGTAATCAATAATTTCATAATAAATCCTTTTTAAAACTCAAATTAGAGTCTTTTTCACAATAAAATTGTTATTTGGTTTTGACTAGGCGTTTACGTACCCTTGATGATTTGTGGGGAGTGGGATTAAATTTTGCTAAAAGTTTTTAAACCTTAATTCTAATCAAATCAAAAAAATTATTGTTTCTTTTATTTTTTAATATATTAATAGTGGAATCAATACAATTTTTAGTATCCAATAGATTAATACCTACTGACTGCAGATACTTATTTCGTGGATCTATTGTTATATCTCATAAATTATAATGGCTAATATAATGTAATTTATATTGAAGCATTGAGATAAAAGACCAGAGGCTTCGACTGAATTATGAGAGGAAACTCTGAATTAAGAGTTCTATTAGAAAATTAAAATAATACTTCACCAATAGCCTAAAAATTCTCATAAATGATGCAAAATGTTTTTAAATGACCAGTCCACCTCTGGTCTAAAAGTCTCTTAAGACATGACCTGCATATTTACAAGATACTCTAAAATGTCTAAAAAATATACAATGCATTAGATAAATTAAAAAAAATAGAAATTATAACAAAAGTTTTTATTTTATTTAATCCAGGATTGAAACATTGCTATAAATAGTCCAGAAGAATAAATTATGTTTTCATCTTTTGCAGCATCCCTAAATTTTGTTAAACCAATCCCACGAAAAGGTAGCTAATAGCATCAAATCAAATATTGATTTAAGATAGTAAAAATTATATTATCACTTTCATTTTTAAAAAACCTCAATGGACAGTTATAAAAATAAAACAAAACAATGATGAAAATACTATTTAAAAGAATATTAAAATTATAATTGACATACTATATCTATATTCTATATAATTATAAGAAGAGAAATTAAAAAAATAATTTAAAATAATATATTTAAATATGGTCGGCGGGGCTTAATGAATCATGTATGGATATGCAGTTGGATCGACAAATTTCAATTGATATTCTTTGTCGAAGATAAAAGCCTACTTTTGAATCACCTGTGATTAAACGTAACTTTATTATGGTTAATTTGTTGGCTCAAAATTGTTGATATCTCAGTATTTTCTTCATAATTCATTCACCGCTTAAATAACTGGTTATATTATAATAATAATATTGTGATTGAACCATAATAAATAAAATAATTATCATTGAAATAAGTAAAATTTAAACGTGACCGCCTAATAATATCATACACAAACACATATGAAGATGATAAAATATGAATAAATGATGATTTATTATTGGATAAAAAAAACCGGATAGAAAGAAATTTACAAACTAGACATGTTTTTTGAATAAATATTTAAAATTTATTTAAAAAATAATATATTAAAAATTTAAATGGGAGGGGGGAGGGGGGATTTATGGGGGCCATTTTTGGGGACTAAAGATTTTTCTGGGAGCCAGGTTTGTGGCAGAGTTGTTAAGGAGCGCGCTATCTTTTTGGTAGCTATAGTTAATAGCGGCTACTTTTTTTGAAATTATTTAATTTTTTAGCGCGCTACTTTTAAAAAATATAATGAATGTAAGTATAAGCACGAAAATTTAAATATAATTAATTATAATTTTTATGATTTATTATTTAATTTTGAAATTGAAATATATTTTCATGTAATTTATATTTTCAATTTGTATTATAAACCTAAATCCTGTTAATAATTTTAAAGGGCATCTCATATGGATATCCAAATCGTTGAAAGTGATTCAGAGTCAGACAATGATATTAATGAAATGGAAGATACCAGGGAAGAAAATGATATTCATAGCAATACTTTCCCATTCCCTAGATTTCAAAAATTTTTCAAGATAAATATTAAAACAAATACTGGCTTCAAATTTATATGTTTAAAATGTAAAAAAAATATTTCATCAAATCAATCCAGTAGCTAAAACCTCAAGAAACACCTAAAGGTAAATTATCATTTTTACATAAAATAATAATATTTATTTTATAAGACTGTTCATGCTAATAGTTTTAAGGAAATTATAAATAACTTTCGCATAGGTGAATCTACATCCAAAAAGACTAATTCAATTCAGACCAAATTAATTAATAATACAAATACCAATATTTCTCAGAAATTAACTGATAAAGTTATTGTGGATTTTATAATTGATACAGTTCAGCCAATGACCTTGGTTGATAATCCATCATAGATTCTCCAACCTCTACAGTGATGAAAATGTCTTGGCAGCTATGATTTCCAAAGTTTAAACTTAACTGGCCATACATCAATTCCCATGATGCTATAGATCAACGCGATAGGCTCATGGCTAAGTTGAATAGTCTTAACCCAAATAAAGATGGCCCAATTACATCATCGAAGACATCCGACAATAATTTTTTTGAAATAAAAGAGTGTATAATAGAAAATCCACTGGATTCCTTTTTTAAGTCAAAAAATACTGAAATGAGTATTTTTGATATTCTATCTTATGTTAAAAAAATGTATATAAGATTAAACACTCCCTTGCCCTCAAGTGCTAGTGTCGAGAGATTATTGAGTAAGGCAAAACTTATATACTTTCTGATCATCGCTCTAGACATGGGGATGATAACATTGAAATGATTTTATTATTAAAATTCAACAAATTACCATAAATTTTTTTATAATCAAAATTAACTATATTTTAATATTTATAAATCTTGATTTTTATATATTATTTACTAAAAAAAAAATTCTAAATATTTTTTATAAAAAGTAGCCTAAAAGTAGCTAAAGCTACTTTTTAAAAATAGTAGCTAATAGCGAGCTACCTTTTTTTTACAAATAGCGATAGCGGTAGCGCGCTACTTTTAAAAGTAGCGATTACTCTAGTTGGGCACTAAAAATTTTTCTGGGGGCCAGGTTTGTGGTCCAAAAAATTTTTTTTGGGAGGGAGGGGGAGTCTTAACATAAAAAATATATCACCTTGTTATGCAAAGCCATCACACAACATCCTTTTAATGCTAAAGCCTATTGCACTACAGCTATTCGATTAAAGTAAATTATAAATATTCCTTTATTTAATGGAATCAAATCAAATAATATTATTTCATAAAAATAATTCTTAAAATTTCAGGTGTCCAAAGTCGGAGATGAATTAATACAATAAATTGAAATAAAGAATTAAATTTTATATGTAAATATATAATATTTTATTATACTATCACCGTCGTTTTAATCAATATGAACGATTCAATTGCACTAAAATATTGATAGTGTCGAAGGAATAAATTGATTTTACTTTTTCGTGTAAGAGTTTCTATCTGTGTCATTAGGAGAATGCTATCATATCAATACAAATACAATGTCATGTTAAAATATTACCTATTTAAATATAATTATTAATCATTTTTCTACATTAATAAGATAGTTATAAGCAAACTTCTGTTAAATATCGTTTTACTTGTAAATAAATAATTTTGAGAACATTTAAGTATAAAAATATTTTCAAAGGTAACTAGTTTTTATAAATAATGACCATTTATAAGCTAAACTTCTATAGTGTCCTAATTATTTAAATATGATGAATATAGTTATTATTCCCTAAATATTGGCCATAAAAAGATTTCATTTGAATGATAATATGAGTGAATAAATTGCATAAAGTTTACGATTAATCTGACTGCGAAATGGGCTTCCGTATCAGCATATGAAGTAGTCAAGGGAGATTTAATTTTGCCGGATGAGTTAACGGCAATATACCTTCCCGGTTCTTTATCTGACTCAAAAACCACGTATTTAGAATTGGAGCCTATCACCTCACGAACGTTAAAATAGCATTGATCTATAGGACCAGTTTGAGCCTATATTTAAAAATTATTTCAATATATTAATCAATAAAGTTTCCAATAATCTAGTTTTTTCAATAAAAAATTATAACCATTTCTCGTATTTCTGCATAACTCATTATGTATTTTAGACATACTAATTAAAAGGAGGAAACAACATTTTCGAGCATGAAATATGTTCATAAATGGAAAAATGGCCTTAGTGGGTGGGGGGGGGGGGCATATCCTTCAATTTGATTTTAAGTGGCATCGATTTTTTCATAAAACAATAAAAATTTAAAATAATCTATTATCTTTACCAACCTTTGTATCATTAAATAATTATAATGTATAAAAAACAAACATGTTTGGTATGTTTTTTAATTAGTAATTATATAAATATTTAGTGGATGCTAAACTTTAACATTTTTATTTTAAAAAACTAGGGCTGTGCCGATCCACAAACCTTTAACCGATCCAATAAGATATTACTATAAAGCTGATCCAATAACGGATATTTAAATTGATTTTATTTACCATCTATATTTGAATAAATGCCATAAAATTAATATTTTCTATTCAAAAAAGACTGATGATAATATTCCCAAAAAGTTAATTATCTAATTTAAAATATGGACAATGTTTATGGCTGAATTTAGTGGTGTTAAACGGCTCGATTTAGCCGATGTTTAAAAACGACTATCAAGATTTTAGCCAAAATATTATTATATAGCCTCGAAATTTTGACAATAGTGGTCAAAACCTTTCTGCCATCTGTGGGCAAAATCTCCAAACTTGGATAATTTTTTGGACAAAATCTTGATAGAGCCATTTAAAAGCAAGCTTAATGTGACTCGTTAGATATTTCATGTTGGAGATGTAATAAATTTTAAAAACACTAAATATCGGTTCCAATCTAATTCGATAACACTGGAAATATGAATGTCCTGGAGCAAATCCAAGATGACATTCAAATTAGGAAATAAAAATTAATTATGTGGGCTATGAGGTAGCAACTATTGTTGCTATAATGATGAGGATAAATAAGAGATACGAATTATCTCATGGGTCATTCAAGTATGAACGATCTCTTGGCCAGTTCTAAGATAATAGTGAACTCATGGGCCATCCAACGGAAAGCGATCTTCTAGCCAGCTCTAGGATAATGGTGACCTTTTGAGCCGTTCTAACATAATGGTGACCTTGTGGGCTATTCAAGGATAATGGTGACCTCATGGGTCAGTGTCTGGTAGATATTTTTTAAGGAGATAGGCATTAATTTTTGTAGGTAGGTATTGATTTTTGGGGAGTAGTTTGTGACTTGAATTTTGTTCTTTTTAAACTGTCTATTAGCAAATAATAAAAAATTATAAATTTTTTCTTTTTGAATTTTAAGCCTTCTCTTATTAACTTTTTTACCATAATATTTTACAATTTCACATGTAAAATATTTTATTTTTATTTGTTAATTTTCTAAAAGTATAGAGGTTATATATGATTAATTTTTATAATAAATTTCAGTAAAAATATATTAAATCATTTAAAATTTTAGCAAAATACAATATTATTATTAAAAATAAGATTTTCAATAGGTAAACAAATTTTAATTAAATTCTTATTTAATAATTAGCAAACATCCAAAGTTATTGAATATTCCCAGATTTTATTTTCTTCTCATTCAATGATCAATCCCAATAAAGTGGCCCAAACTAGAGATCTGCAAAATTAGGCCCGGCCCGTGCCTAATATTTTAAAAAATTCGGGCCGGGTCGGGTCGGACCTTAAAATTTGTATTAAATATATCTAAATTTATTAATTTTATATTGAATTTTTTATGTAAAATAATAATATTTGATTTTATTTATTGAAAATAAACGACATATAACATATGTCGAGTAATTATAAAGATTAGTTTCTATATTTAAATAAATTCGGGCCGGGCTGGGTCGGTAAATTTTTTTAAAAAAAATTCGGGTTCGGGCCGAGCCGGGCCGGCAATACTTTTTTTAAAAAAATTTCGGGCGGGCCAGGCTTAAAAAATTAGGCCCGATGCAGATCACTAGTCCAAACAGCTTTTCAATTACCGATTGATTATTAGCAAGAATTAGAGATTTAATTGCTTTTTCTAGCCTAAATAAGCATAAGAATGTAAATAAAATTTTTGTGAGATTATAAATGGTAACAAGATATTTTTATTAATATCACATAGCATCGTGGTTTATCGCGGCCGAAGGGCATGGAATATTTTTAGGGGAGTAGGGGTAAATTTTGTAGGGGAGTTTACCTCCATCAAATTTTCTGATATGTAGACGTTGTCATGGGCCATGGAATCTAAAGGATACTCCGGAGGGAGATCAATCATACAATGGAATCGATAAGGATACTCCAGTGGGAGATCAATCTTACAAGGGAATCGTTATAGATTCTTTAGGTGAGATCAATAACTCAAGGAAAAGGATATTAATACTCTAGGTAATTGTACCAAAGCAGCCAATATTGATGCTCTGTTGAGAGATCAAAATTTTGATTGGGGAAAAAGAGTGGGCTAAAAGGTTATATCAAATGGAAAAGGTAAATGATGAAAAACCGTATGGATGTTGAAAAGAGTTAGTTTTATTCAATTGATGATGGGAAATGTAGTAAATTAGAAATTATATTTATAATTGAATGATTTTACATAAATTTTTAATATTGACATAATGGAAATATATATATGTTTATAAAGTAATATATTATGATATATTCGTTAATTATATATTTTACAATGATTATATATATCTACACTTGTGATATATATAATCATTATCCATTATTATTATATTATTGATTTCCTTGTTTAGTATGGTTGTGTGAATATATGAATATATGATATGAATATTATTTTTATTACTTTACAAATCTTTTTTATTATCATATAGTTTTATATAATATAATTCTACAATATTATCAAAATTGTAAGCATTATAAATTCCAACTATATTGCAGAAAAGATATAAAAATAATTTAGGTTGTAGGAAAGAAAAAATAACATAGCATATTTCAAAAAAATTTAAAAACGATCTGATTTTACGAGAACTGTATTCCAGGATGTACATATGAATATAGTAGTTTCCCTGCGATTTTCAGATAATTTTGCCGTAATTTTTTGATAACTAATAAATTTTTCTAGGGTGCTAATTTTGGGAAAATAGGGTGCTTATATTTTAAAAAGGGGTGCTAGTTTACCCAAATATATCTAAAGATGCGCCTGCCTCAGCTATTTTTAGGACAAGAACATCATGAAAATAAATGTTTCAATCAGTTGATTTATAAAATTTAAATCATTGGGGGGGGGGAGCACTTAAGGATTAAGTCAATTATATATATAAAAAATTAGGGCAGGGCTAAATTTTATAAATATTTTTGTATCACCTTGGCTGATCATTTTATTACCAAACAAATATTTATACTAATTAACTTTTAACCCCTTGAATTATAGTTAACGCTCCATTAATAATGGCGATGTAATTGAATTGATTATGCAACGTGATTTTGTGGCTAAAGGAATCTTTGTATATCGTGAAAAGACCTTGCGTCAAATATAATATATAAATTATAAACCAATTTATAATTACATTATGTAAACTTAAAATTAAATTATAATAAAAAAAAATATACTTGATCACATATTTATTTAACTATAACTGCATAAAATCAGTTTATTAAGGGGTTAGGGTAATAACATATTTTATTTTTCAAAACACTTAGACTTTTTTAAATCTGCCCACACTTGGGATCATTTTTAATTTCCATCTATTGGAAACATACCAATTCTTTTAGAGTCAAAATATTCAAAGCAACTTCACATTTAATAAATTATCTTTCATTGTATTTGGATTTTTTATCCATTTTAGATATTCTTTTTAAGTTTTTGTTTGATACTACAAATGATTAAGAGTTATATTTAAATGTAAATAAAAGTATGATGAGGAGAATAGCTAAAGAGAAAAAATATAGACAACAAAACTTAATGACGTAATTCTAACAATACTATTCCCGTAATAATATTTAATTAAAATAGATACCGGACATATTTTTAGACATCTCAAAAGGCATGGCCTCTTAAAAGAGGACGATTAGCAATCCTAGCCTAAGTCAGTTTGGAGGATTTTTAAAGAGTAAAATTGTTGAACGGGAATATACGAAACAAGCATTATCATATGTTATATAACATGTTTGTATGAAATTTTTGTCTAATTACAAATGTAGGGATCTTTATTTATTTCTCTTATAATAAATAACAAATTGAATTTATCAACCTTTGTTTTAATATTAATCATATCATATTACAAGTCGAAATTTTTAAAAAATTAAATAAATTTTTATATATTTAAATTTAACCAATGAATCTATTTTATTTAAGTATCCTTTCTTTAAAAATTTATATCACATCAATGCAATTCATGTTAAAATTCTGTTTGACCATTAATTAGGCTTCTAATAAACTGAATCAAATTGAGAAAAAATATTTTCTTCATGATTATTCATTAAGTAAAAAAAACGCTCGGGCGGTGTTTGAATGAGAAACTGAAAATACAACATTACATAGTATCAGGGTTGAGGCTTGATTATCAAAATATTAATCTATCTTTTTCTATATATTGTGTGATGGTTTGGAGATAATATTGAGCACATTTACACTTATTTATTGAGCAAGGAATGCATTAATAATTATTGTCATCATAGTTATATAATTTTTCAATATATGTATAATAGTTTGGAGAAAATAATGAGTCTTTTTTTTATATACTACAACTAATCAATATGAAAATTTTATTATGGTTTCATAAATTATTGAGCCCATATGATCTTCATCATATCTTCTATTACTAAAAGTTGATTATCATTGTCTCATTATATGTTATCATTTGATCAAAATTTCCACATAGAGTTATGATCAAGCCATGATATGCTTCTGTAATTTATAAAAATGTTTTTACAATGATTTGTGGATGTTCCAACAAAAGAAAATAATTAAAGAGCTTGAAATTTAAAGGAGAAAAATTAAGCTACAGCATGTAATTTAAAATATCTGCTCAGTCAATGCATTTTATAATTTTTAATTTCCTTCACTCTATTTGCCAATATTTTATCAAGCAGTAAAATATTTTGTCTTATTTTATATATTACAACATGTGAAAAATATAGATTACTCAGATGAAATTTGGTAATTATGCTTTGATTCTTGCCAAAACTAACACTAGCATCTTCTGCACAATAGGTCAATAGATCAAATTATTTATTAGTTCAACATTCGTAATATTTTTTAATAGAATATTTTCAATATGCTTTCAAATTTTACAATCTGAATTAATTTTTATTTTGATAAAATATCGCAAAACAAAACAGTGATAAAATATGAGACATTAGTTTTTTTTATAATGTACAAAAATTAAATTATAATCATTTTAATTTTTGACAATTTTGAGGGATTTTAAGACTTAACCATATTTGACTGAAGATTTAGTCATGTTTTTTGCTATAGAAAATAAATTTAGGAGATTGGCATATCTGAGTGATTATTATGGTAAATGGGAATATTCTTATATATAAATATTAGTATTTCCCCTCAACTATTTTAATATTAACCCTTATCTTTGTTGACTCTAAGCTAACCTCTAACATGGTCCATGAGCATGAAATCAGGCTTTAGCCTCAACCATATAGTCTGGTAAAAACTAAAAGAAACTTAAGCCTTAAGATTTTACCAAGTGAGTTTATTAATTTAATATGCATAGTTTGGTATAAACTAAAAAAAACTTATTAGCTGCTTTGCAAGGAATATTTTAGATTTTACCAAATATAGTGAGTTTATTAATTAAACATGTTCAATATATTTTTTTATAAAATCTTATAACATGCTTTATTTAAAAAATCAAAAATGAATGTTTTTGTTGTTGTTTAATCCATCTATCTGAGCAGATATTTTTTTTTCTCAAACATCTACTTAGCTCACATAAATATTTTTTTTAAATAGTATTTTACAGCAACACATTCACATATATATTGGAAATAAAAAAATATAAAAAATGTAATTTTCAATTTTCACTAAATTTTATTATTTAAAAGATATAATTATTCATTTTTTTGAAATAAATTATTCAAAGTTACAAAATCTATGAATGTAATATTTTTTTTGCAAATTAATCTTTTCAATATGTAAATTAAATATTCATTTTAATTTTAAATAGGTCACTAAATTATATATATTACAGATTTAAATTTTAAAAAGATTAATATATAATGTTTTTCCTAATTAATAATTTATGAAATTTATTGAATAATATATAAAAACAAACTATTATATGATGAAGGGCCTTCACGTCCAAGCCCATCCAAAAATAGTTGTCCTTGAGGAGTTTGCAATATTTGGAGGGAATGGCCAGATGAACGAGAAAGTAGTTGAATTATATTGTTAGTTTGAATATATTTATGTTCCTTGCTTGATATATATTTCCCTATTAGTTATTATCATTTTGATAAAAATATTCTTTATATACTAAGTCATATAAAAAGCATATAATAAATAGAAATATATTTTAAAAGAACTTTATTCAGTGGCATAAAAACTAAGTGGTATTATATTAAATGTATATAAAATTAATAAAGGTGGAGCTTATTCAGAAATTTTATTTGACTTTAATGGCTGATAACCAAATTTATAATATAATCTAAACCTGTCTCTTTAATTCTATGTACACCTGCTCCTATTACATCTGTCAATAATCCAGTGATTGAATTCCTATTTTTATTATCAAGATCCTTAATCTAATAAGAGTGATATAAAATTTTTTTATAATATAATACTTTAGGTGCATCATTCCTTGGTCCCGTTAAGGAATTAAGTTGGCTAATAGCAGCCTCATAAGGGGGAGGAGCAGAAGGTCCAATTTCTGGCAAGGGTAATTTTTCTTTTGGCATTTATGAATGTATGACTAATTTTATGTCTCGCCATATGATTTGATAATCTCTATAAACATATTAACCATTCATTCCTATCTAATATTATCTTGAAACATAGTTTAATGGAAAAAAAATAGTATATATTATATAGGGTAATCAGAAAATTACTCACTATATTATTGACCTTCGAAAAATTAGATACTAGCCCACCAAGGGCCAATCATTATTAAAGTTTGGTTAATATGCAGTTATTAAAATTAAAAAGGCCTCAGCTTGAGTAAGGTAGTAAAATAATAAAAGTTGTTTTTCATATTTTAAATTGTTTTATGTATATGAAATTTTTCTTAAACTAAAATATAGAAAGATACACATAAATGTAAAATGACTTTATTCTTATCTCATTTAATCTAGCAGGTTGGTCATAAACTTGCCCAAAATGAGCAAACGTAAATTATACGAAGGCCTACTCTTCATATAATTATGCCGATTTTTTTCTCAAGGATAAACACAAACCTACCCAGGTGAAACTAAATAAGTGAGTGGAACTAAATTAATACCGTTTTAGTAGATAATTTGATTTAGTAAAGAGAAAAGAGGGAAGAATATAGAATAAGAAGAAATAGAATAGAAATAGAATAAATAAGGTTTTTTTTTTACCATGTTGGAATATTAAGGAAGTTTTATACGAAGTCCCACAAGAAAATAAAATCGATATACTCTATAGCAACATGTAATAAAAGGCTGCTTGACACTGCTTTAGCATAAAGCTAGCTACAATAACTTAGGATATCTTTTTTGCCTCCCATTAAATAGTGTTATTAAAAAGCCAGATTTGGGTCTATTTTTCAAAACGTCCCTAAGATTTTAGTTAAAATAATATTATGTAAGCACCAAGACTTGGAAAATAGATGTCCAATCATTTCTGCCAGCTATGTGCAAAATTTTTAGACTTTCATAATGTTATCTTGGTTACAATCTTAATCGGGCCGTTTATTTAAATCTACCCGAATCGGGATTTTTAACAACATTACCAGTAAGTCATTAAGGACATAATGTTTGGGAGTCTATCAACTCTATCATCAGTAGCGTCACTAATGGAGCGAATAAATGTTTTTAATGGCTCTCTAATACCCTTCTGAACTATAGATAAATTTTTTTGAAGTCCCTGTTAATGTATTCGAACTGATTTTTATTATTTCTTACTCACCGTCTATTAAATTAATATTTACCTTACGTACTGATTTTATTATTTCTTTTATTTTACATTATATTAACTTAATATTTACCTTAATTTTATTATTTCTTTTACTCTACATTATAACTTAATAGTTTCTTAATACTTTGGTCCTTTTAATGATTATTATTTTAAACCTTAAATAAATTGTTAAATTGAATTTTATAACACATATATAGATGTAAAATTTATTAGAATCAGGAGTTAAAATTCTTAAATAAAAAATAAAATTTGTGTAACCTTTTTTAATTATTATCTTACTCCCTGCCTCCTTAACACCCCCCTGAACGGTTTCTTTTATAATAATAATTCTATTAAGCATTATATAGGGATTTGATTTTATTATTTAAAAATTAATAACTATCTAAATTTTTTATTAAATGAGTGTTATTTATCATTAGATTAGATTAATACATATAAATTATTTTTACACTATGTCAGCTTGCACAATCAAATTCTGTATTAAATGGAATAACAATCATAATGTCTAAATATCAATTTAGCATTAACAGTTTAAGCTTAATTGATTTTAATTATTTAAATGATTTTATAACCCTTAAATAAATAAAATCATTATTAATTGAAAATTAATCAATTTAATATTGTAATTAGGAGAGTTCAATATCAATCCATTTTTAAATTTAATTACCATGCCTCTTCCTAAAAATATTTCCAAGGTCCAAACAAGTATATAAGAAATTTCTTTATAAAAAGTAAGTAGACATAACGTTGATAATCCTCTATTATATATAATTTTTTACAAAATACTAGGAAAAATACCACTTTTACAGACAAAATTTAAAAGCTATAGAGTATATTACAGTTAATATTTTATAAACTTTACTAATCAATACCTTTGTTAATAAATATAAGTAATAATTTGCATTCAATTCTTTAACGTCATTTATTTATTTTTTAAAAAAATTTAATATTAAAAATTAAAATTGTATTATTTATCCCGTATTAAATATTTTTTTCCTTTTTTGCGTGTTTTTAGGAAAGAAAGCTATTTTTTTTCTTCTTTGAATAACAGTTTTGAGTTAAATTTTGAACACGTTGATATTTTCTGGAACTTATTTTCTAGTTACTAAACGATTCATTTATAATATAACATCTTTCTGTGTAAATAACTTAAGACTTCAATATATTTGTTAAGTTATTTTTCTAAAGATTTTTGTGTTTTTGTTTTATCAATTTACCTATCATAATAAATTCTGATATGAGTTTACATTGCGAGTGTTATGGCTATCACTTTAAATTAACCAGCATTAATTATTTGTGTGGCTATTATAATTTAAGATTATTACACCTGCTGAGAAGAGCATTTCATTGCATAATTTAGATGAGCAATAATGGCCAACTGTCTAGTCGTTTATATATCATTAAAAATGGAAGATAATATTTAAAAATTTATTATCTCAGAATAATTTACTTGATTGCATATCTAGCTTCTATAATGAAATCTAAGATGAAGCTCTAATCACCATATAGTTTTATGATTAGTCGTTTATATTCTCTTCAAGAATTATTGATTTGATTAGGCCTACAAATTATTCCTTATTGGTCCATTCTATAAAACATTGTCTAAAATGGTAACTCAACCTTGTAATAGCTTCATGACCTTTTGCCAATGTAGGTTGTTAAGAGTTATATTGCTTTGCGCGATTTTTAAAAACCATTGTCAATTGAGGCATGATGATTTAATTAGCCTTTTTTGTCACTTGTAATTCTATAGACGCAAAATTTTTTTTATATCCGCGATAGAAAATATTTAATATTGTAATAAATAGATAAATATTTTGCATTAAAAAATATTATCTTTAAAAATGTCTTGTATTGTTTTACTTTCATTATTTGTATACATAATAAATGGCAAAATATGAAATTCAGAATAATTGTTCGGAGTTTGCAAATTTCAATTAAAAGAGTATAATATATTTATATAAAACCCGGCAGCCCCCCATAAAAAGAGCCCCCTGAGATTGTAAAGGCTAGTGACTCCCTTGTCTATCATACGTGAGAAAACTATCATTTAATTGTTATTTTCTACCAAGTCCATTCAGGAAAATTCTCATAAATCAATTTTTTGTGTTATAAATTAAAATTACAAAAAAAATAAAAACATTAAAAGTAGACAATGTTATTAGTGCTCCTTTTTAAAAGATAATAAAGAGCTAGCTTCTGCTCCATTACTAAGTTTTTAAAAGAAGTGCCCTCCTGCTCCAAATTAAAAAAGGAAACACTGCTCTTTAGCTGATACTTTTAAAAATGATTTATAATATAAAGTAAAGTACACAAATAAATATTTTTATCTATATATTTATTCAAAGAAAATGAGACTTCAAAAAAATTTTCAATCATATGTTTGCTTTTATTAGCATTATATTTTCTAAATTTGAATTTGGGAAGTAGCCATGCTTTTTTCCTAAAATCTGTTTAGCTATATTTTACAAGTGCTTAATAAGAACAAGATTATTGTGTTTTATAAAAATATTTTTTAAATTTAGAATATATATTTATTTCGGTATTATATATTAAAATTTTTTTTTCTACATTTAACTTCTTGATAATCAATTTGATTGAATCCAAAATAATATTCTAAATTACTTGAGGATATTTTTGGCGTAATTGTAGGTATTTATATATTTAGTATATGTGTTATAATAAAATTAATTTTTATTTTTCAATTTTTATCCTGTTTACTAGGAGGTTGGCAAAACTCAAAATCTATAAAATCCTTGAATTGAGTCTAAATTTATTTGGAGTTAAATAAACTCATATACAGATCCATATGGAGCTCACCTTAAAGGATCTACTAAGCCCTTGCCAAAGGCTCCATAAACTAAAATATTATTATTTCGAACAAATAACGATTATATTATAATATTTACTTGGTTATCATTAATGAATTTGGGCTTGGAGAGTTAAAAGGTATAAGTCCTATGCTATCACTTAAATTATCAGATATTGCTGTTTTTCGCTTAATATTTTACCAAACAATATCATGAATTGGATTCATAACATGAATTCCTTCTCATGGTATATGGCAATGTTAAATATATCGCCAATTTTTTAATTATATTATCTTATCAGGCATATTTGTGGACATACAGTCAAACTTGTCTAATTTGGGCTCCTGATAATTCGGGCAACTCCCTAATTTGCCAAAATTTAAGTTGCAAAAATATATTAAGCAATAAAATCAAGGCATTTCCAAAAGCATCGGATGTTTCTTTCGACAGATAATATAGATAGAAACTGGGATATGGCTCCTTATTGGACTTAACTGAAAAATGGTTGATATTTTATCTTATTGTAATTAGATTTTTTGTTTTTCAATTGTATGTTTATAAAGATAATGGGAAAAAACACACTATGTAAAAACTGCTGAAAAACGGAGGGAAAATTTTAAAGGGGAAAAAACTTAAGAATAAAAAATTAGGTAAAAAATTCTAAAGAGAAAAAAAACTTAGGAATAAAAAATACGGTAAAAAATCTAAAAGAAAAAAAAACTTAAGAATAAAAAATACCGTAAAAAATCTAAAGGGAAAAAAACTTAGGAATAAAAAATACGGTAAAAAATCTAAGAAAAAAAACTTAAGAATAAAAAATACCGTAAAAAATCTAAAGAAAACTTAGGAATAAAAAATACGGTTAAAAAAATTTTAAAGGGAAATAAAACTTGGAATAAAAAATACGCTAAAAAAATCTAAAGGGAAACAAAATGGAGGAGAAAAAAAACTTAAAAAATAAAATACTGAGGGAAAAAAATCTCTTTTAATAAAAAGAAAAAATAATTAAATATGAAACAAACAAATTTTAAAAATAATGTAGAAGAAACATTTTTAGGCGACTATTTGTTGATAAATTTATCTGATAAAGTAAACGTTTAAAAAATAAGTAAGAAATAATTTAAAAAAATAATTCTTTAAATCGGCTCGGCGACAGTTTTGTAAAATAAAAATAAACCAGTGCAGTTGGATTTTTAAAATTTTAAGATCCAGACCTGCAGACTAATTTTTTAATAATAATTCTCTAATATTTTTTGATTTCTTTTATAAATAAATTGTATAAAAGTAGACGAATTTTTGACCCTAATTCGGAGAAAATTGATTTGGAGTCTTAAACATTTGTGTTCAGATTTGTTATGAATTCGGAAAAATATTTTAAACCAAGTTCGGTTTAGCTACAAAAAATATTAATTATCAAACTAAAAGAATTTTTTTTATTAATATTTAATATTACAATAAAAGAAACTATATTAAAAAATATTACCAAATAGTCGCCTTAGAAATTTTATTTACTTAACATTTTAAAAATAATATTATATAAGCCTGGAGATTTTATCCATAGATAGCAGAAAAGTTTGGACATCTTCCAAATCTCGAGGCTTATATATATTATTTGGCTAAAATCTTAATAGGCTCGTTTTTAAAAATCGACCCAAATTAGGCCTTTTAACAACCCCATTATCTACCTTTTATTTAAAAGATAGTTTTCTGTTGCAATTTTTTTTAATAATAGAGATTTTTTTCCGTAGTTTTTTTTATTCAATTTTTATCCCAATTTTTTTTTCTTGTGATTTCTTTTTCCGCAATTTTTCGTTCCTAAAATTTGTTTTGCGTGATGGTTTTTTTTGCAGTTTTTTGGGTCGAGTATTTTTTCCACATGCTTTTCCTTTCGGGTTTATTGTATTTGTTAAAATTTTACTTATTTTACATGCTATATTTTTTTAATTTTTTCATAGAAATTGTTGGATGTTTTTATATAGGGAAGAAGTATATTATGAAAAATCATAAAAATATGTTTGGAGACTTCAAAAAATTTAAATTATACAATCTCGAGTCCGAATGGGCCATTTATTTTTTCGAAAAATTCCGAATGCCTACCTTAGTCGGGCTCGACCTGCTGCTCACATCACAGTCTATTTAGAATGTTAGTTAATTTTTGTAGAAAGAAAAAATTTGACTATCTAATTAGTAAATTAAAAACGAGGTCAAAGATTTTATAACAATTCGTCTAATCGCAACACCCACTTATACATAAATTAGGCTAACAAACTTAAAGCGAAATAGCCAATTCGCGTGTCTGCCTATTTGAGAAAAGTTTTTCTCTATATATCGCCTTATAAATAAGAGTGAATACTTTCGATATTATAAAATAAAAGCTTATTCTATAAAAAGAAAATAAGTTAAAATAGCAGAAAGCAATCTAAATGGAAATAATTTTGCATATAGTTTGTGCAGAAAAGGGCATATTTATATTTACAGTAATATAAATAGACTAATTAAATTTGAGCCTCTTTCCTACTAAAAAAAGTTTTAGGAGTTGAATTTCTAAAGCCATAAATATCGGCTAAAAAAATCTAATTATTTCAGTATAGTCATTTAAATTCGAATTTTTTCTTACTATTTTTGTAAATGTTCTTTTGTTATGCCTAATTATTAATTTGTCAATTAATCGTTTTTAAAAACATCTGATATTTATATTTAAATGTTTATTAGTTTGACATTGACAATGAAAATTTTAATTAAAAATGAATAAATAAATAATAATAATAAATTATATTATAAAAATTATACACCGCATTAATTTTAAATGAAATGAAAGCCTACTTTTCTTTTATTCTCTTCTTGATATTTGTGATTGTTATATCGGACTTGTATTCAGCTAAAAAACAAGATGATATACAAGGTTATATTTCAATTTATTAATATATAATACTTTTTGTATGATAAAAAAAATCTCCATCAAATTTAGATTATAAAATCTAGACTATATGGGCTTAAACCCTCCTATATTGCTCATCTATGATGAGGTCAACTTTTAGAAAGCACGACTTGGTTTAGTTAAGTTAATTTATATCTTGTACATATGTTTACCAATCCTTATAAAGGTTTCCATCACTCCCACATTACATAAGAAGGATAAGAGCTATTTGCCTCCATTTTTTTTAAAGGGGGGAAGGGAAATTAGTTTAGAGGGTGGGGTAAAGTAAAAATAAACATTATTTATATATTAAAGACAAGAGTGATTGGTAAAAAAATTCTAATTTATTGATAGTTATTTATTTCAATTTTAATGGTTAATTAAATTTTTAATCATTTGTCACAGATAACATCTTAATACAGCTTAAATTTATATGCTCTCATGGTTAATTTTTATATAACGGTTAATAACAACTAGTTGATTATTACACTAATGTTTATTTATTTCTTAGCTCAATTTAAGTTCTCCTTTTAGGGCTAACCGCCCATTTTGATAATGACAAATTTAAATAATGAATAGCAAATTTAATATTCATATAGACCTACTATAAGGAGGATTAATGGTGAAACCGAATCACAATATGAACCGTTGGGAATTTTATCAATTGCTCAATTAAGATAACAATTTTATGTCAAAAATTAGATTACATATAAAATGATGAATCTCTTTTATTTTACCTAGACCTTGAAATTTTTCCAGAAGTTAACTATCAAATTATAATTATAGTTCGTTTAACTTAAACTAATCAAAAATCATATTTTATTTATAAATATAAGTAATAAGTATTCATAAGAAATTAAGTTTTTTAGACTTAACCCCTTTCATAAATTTTTTTGGCAAATTTTACAATATATTTGGCCTATATAAGATATAACCTAACCATAAAGTACAAAAAAATGATATTTTTTTTACCATTAAAAAATACATTATAATATAATGTCAGAAAATTTAATATATGAAATAAAATTATAATATTTAAATATACTTTATATTGACTCATTTGCCAAATCTAATGCTCAATGCACATTAGAGATCTGTCAATCCCTACCTTAGAAAATTATAACGGGTCGGGTCTGGCAATTTATACATAAAAGAATTTCGGGCCGGTCTGAGGCGGACAAGTTATACATAAAAAACCACGGGCAGGACCTCTCAAATTTCTTATAGGCGACAGCTGCATTAAAATTTTGATATATTTTTTTGAATTTCAAGCGAATATTTTGATAATAATATTTGAAATTAAATTAAAATATGCTTATTTTTTTTGTTTTTTAATAGCTGTGTAACTAAAATAACAAATCTATAAATAATATAGTAAATTCCAGAAATCCAAACCGAAAGCAATAACTCATCGGTTTAGGTTCGGGTTCAGGTAGAAATATGGTCCAGAGTTCAGGCTCGGTTTTTAAAAAATAATATTGGTTCAGTTCAAACCTCTAAAAACGGGTTGAATTCTTTTATATACAAACCTCATTATAATTATAAATAGAGAAGCACATTTTTTTATTTCCTCAATAAAAATATAAAACATTTATTCTATCATTTATTGCGCATAGATAATATCTAATTTATAAATTATAATAAATAAACATCATTTAATAACTGCAATATTGAATATTAATTACTTAAAAAAATAGAGGTGAGCTTTACAATTATAATTTCTAGATTCACCTCAAATTACATATATATATATATGGAGAAAGTAAAAATTTTATTGTTGAAAAACATCTGCTAACTTGAGTTGACTACTATAACATTAGAAACTGATTACTCTGACTTTGCGAATAGTCTAAGATTTCTACGGTTTTGTTTATACCATCTTTTATTGAAGAATGTTGTTTCATTTTCACTAGAAGCTTCCACTCTTATATTAATTTAAGTCCACGTTCATAAATTAAATTTTAAAAAATGTAAGTGTATCGCCATTTAAACTTTAGATTGTATTTTTTTTATTTTAAAACCAAAATGTCCATTTCAAATCTTGAATAATATAATAATAAATATAATTTGTAAAAATATTCCATAAAAATGAAACTCTTCCCCTGATTTTTTAAATTAATTAAATATAAACATACATAGGTAAAATCAAAACAAGATATATTTTTTATAGTAGTTTTTTTTTCACTTTAGCTTTCACCTTTTTCTGGTGGTAAGCTCTTTCAATATCTCTCTCTACTTTATCGCAACCATGCTATTTCATTTATCTAATTTATATTTCTTCATATTGGCTCTAACTTTATGGCCCCATTGATTTGGCCTTCATCTTTTACATTTGCCCATCACTTCCATACTCTTAACCTTATTTCCTATATAGTTTATAGGCCTTCCCATTGTGTGCCCATACCACCTAAATATGTTCACCATTTTCTTAGTCATAAGCATTACCTTTAAATAGTATTCTTGCACTTCGCACCTGATACTTTCTTGATACCCCATCAATCACACACAGCATTCTCATCTCCATAATTTGTACTTCTCTCGGCTGATTCTTTGGTTGGCCAGGCTTCCAGAATAGTTGATTGTATATGGAACTGTAAATTTTTCCCTTCAATTTGTGTGGAATTCTTTTGAATCACCCTTGATTAATTTTACTCTTTATCTCTTTCTCTATTGTGCCGTTTGTTTGTATAATGGGGACTAAATATTTGGAGCTTTCAATTGCCGATATCTGCCATTCATTTATATCAATGCTCTCTGTTTCATCTCCTCCTATCACCATCACCCAGCCCATGAAGGTCTCTGATCAGAGGATACTTTTACCATTTGTTAGAGAATTCAGAAGCTAGAAAGCCAATACAGGCTGATAAACTCTTCATTTTTAGCACGATGGACCGCTTAGCATTTGTTTCCTTATGCGATATGGACAATGCAATAACATTCCTGAGTAATGGTAAGTATATTTTTGATTATTTTGATAAAAATTATGTCAATTATCAAGAGAGATAGCAAGGGGCAATTTCCAGTCCCGGGCACGTCAAATTAAGCTTCAATTACCATTTTATCTTGTTTAAGAATTTTTAATGGGCGGGTATATGAGCAATCTTCAAATAATGAATTAGGGCCATATTAAAAAAATTTATCTCATTAATATAATATATTTTTATAATATTTTTTTTGACTTAAAAATTATTTGCAATATTATAATTAAAAAATATATTAATTTGTCTATACTATACCTTATAAAGATGAGTGCATCTATTATAATGTAAATAAAAATATGCCTTTGTTAATAGGTTTAAAGTAAATTTCATGAACATGGGGAAAAAAATTCCGGGGGTTATTTTTCCGAGGGTTATTTTTTCGTGGGTTATTTTTCCGTGGGTTTTTATCTAGTTTTTTTCTTTTAGGGTGTAGGTGATAGACTCACAGGAGAATGGTGAGTAAAAAAATGTTTGGAGGGGGGGGGAGATAAAACTAGGCTTGGTCTCCAAAATAAAATTTCCCTCACGACTTACTTGCAACATGATAGCAGGCACTTGTATTATATATGGTTTTTCTAAGGTAATTTTGTTGATTAAAATATCCATTTTTTAAAAAATATTTAGGGGGTTAAAAAAAATTTTGAATGGGTAATATCGTAATTGGCTTAGGCATATGGTTCCACGTCAATTCAGCGCGGAAAATTCGGCGCACGACAATTCGGCGCAGAAAACTCAACGCGGCGTCAATTCGGCGCATCGCCAATTCAGCGCGGCGACAACTCGGCGCAACGTCAATTCGGCGCGGCGACAATTCGGCGCAACGTCAATTCAGCGCGGCGACAACTCGGCGCAACGTCAATTCGGCGCGGCGACAATTCGGCGCAACGTCAATTCAGCGCAACGTCAATTCAGCGCGTATCTAATACAGTTGCAATTTATTATAAATTTATTAGTATAAAAAAAGAATGATTAAATAGAAATGATTTTGAATGTTGGTCATATTAATTATTTCTTCGTATTTTTTTTTACAAAAATCTCAATTTTATTTACTACATGTGTAATATCAATAAAAAAAATTAACAACTAATATTTATACCGATTTCCTTGCTGGACCAATTTACCACATTATAAGGTAGGGGAGACTGGGTTTAGTCGGACCGATTTTTATAAAATTGGCTATAGCTCTTGGTTTTTTAGATAATATAAAAAAAATATATGATTAGATACCTAAAACTATACTCTATAAAGGTTCCTTATAAAAAATTTTAAGAATATAATCATTTTTTTTTAAATTTTACTTTTTGTAAAAGAACAATTTTGTCCAACAAGCCCCAATAGCGGGTAAATTAAGGCAAGTTATATATAAAAATTGAAACTTAATTTTGGTTAATTTAATAAACATTTTGTATTTTTTTCATTATTAACTGCCATAATAGACGTGTATGGTTTAGCAAGCCCTGCTAATTCTAAATTTCTGGATAATAAATACTCATATAACTTTCCCAAATTATAAAAACTTCATCAATATTTTATTTCTTAAATAAAATTTTTAATAATTATTTCAAAAGATTTTTTGTCTATAGACGTAAACTAATAAAAACTATATTATGATAAAACTTTAACCTTCTGGTGTATTTAATTTTAAGATGAGATTAAGTGGTTTGCCAAGCCCCGGTATCTAACCCCAGTCTCCCCTTTTTTGATTAGTAGCCAATATTATGTAAGCGAGATTTTGCGCTAAATGTAAGAAAAGTTTGGACTTCTATCTCTAATCTTACATGTTATTATGGCTAAAATCTTAATCGACCCAAATCGGACGTTTAACAACACTAATGTTGATCCAATAAAATTCAAATTAAGACTGATTCATTTTTTAGATTTATTAAAAATCCTTAAAATAATTCTATTAATCATTTTAAATATATATTATGTTTAACTAATTTTTTCTATTATAAAATAATCAAAAACGAATTAACGCACAAAAACAATTTCATGGCTGTTTATGATTGGTATTTAGGATTTATGCTAAGAAATCATAACATCTCCTTTATGTCCAAAATGTTTATTAAATTAACCTAAATTAAGTTTCAATTTTTATATATAATTCAATTTATAAGTATTATGATATTTTTAACAATAAAACAATAAAATTATTCTATACGTATCATTATTAATAAATAAAAATGCATTTCAATTTATTATGGCTAAAAAAACCAATGATTAGGAAACCCCTTGAATTTGCCTCACCCCGCTATTGGGGCTTTTTGGATATTATTTTTACTTTTTCAAAAAGTAAAATTTAAAAAATATGATTATATCCTTAAAATTTTTATAAGGTACCTTTATAGAGTATAGTTTTAGGAGGTATCTAATCATATATTATTTTTTATATTATCTAAAAAAATCAGGAGCTAAATTTTGTAAAAATCGATCCGACTAACCCCAGTCTCCCCTACCTTATAATGTGGTAAATTGGTCCAGCAAGGAAATCGGTATAAATATTGGTTGTTAATTTTTTTTATTGATATTACACATTTAGTAAATAAAATTGAGATTTTTGTAAAAAAAGATACGAAGAAATAATTAATATGACCAACATTCAAAATCATTTCTATTTAATCATTCTTTTTTTTATACTAATAAATTTATAATAAATTGCAACTGTATTAGATACGCGCCGAATTGACGCCGTGCCAAATTGACGTTGCGCCGAATTGACGCCGCGCCGAATTGACGTTACGCCGAGTTGTCGCCGCGCTGAATTGACGTTACGCCGAGTTGTCGCTGCGCTGAATTGACGATGCGCCGAATTGACGCCGCGCCGAATTTTCCGCGCCGAATTGACGTGATACCCCATAAAATTTTTTTAATTAAAATTTAAAAAAGATTAAAAAAAAAATTATTGTGTAATATATTGCTAAAGTCAGAATAACAGAAAAAGGGCAAAGATTCGATACAATACATTATTGTCCTGAATGAGCATATTCAATTTGTAAGAGAAATAATTTATTTTCTATATGGATTTATAGTAAAAATTAATTTTTTTAAAATCATATATAAATTATAACAAATATAAATGAAAAGTTTTGTGTTTTGTGAGTTAAAATCGATAGTTGCTAATATACCTGAAAGTCTTGTCATTAAACCCAGGATTGTTGGTATATAGCTATAAGAACTACTTTTACTTAATCTTAAAATGACCACTGCATAAAAGGTATGAAGTCCCGGCTTTTTTTATTTTATTATAATGAATGGGCTATCTAGTGAGAATTATAGCTTAATCTCATTAAATTAAATTTTATCGCAAAAGAGAAAATTACCAGCCATACATATGCACAGCCAAGGGGGGGGGGGGCAAGTGGAAATTATCCGTTTTCCGGAATTTTATCGTTCACGTAAATATCATTTTTAGCTAATTTTCCCCCTCACTTTAAACGACAATTTAAAAGAAAAATAAGTAAAAGTTAATAATATTTAAAAATAATGACTATGATAAAGCAAAATTACTAATTTACAAAAAACACGGCTAAAAATATTTTTGGCCAAGGTCAATATTAGCCAAATTGAATATCTTATAAAGAATTAATGATAGAAAATATGATTTAAAATACTTTATCAAACTAATCAACTCTGTAATAAGAAAAATGAAGCTGCCAAGTACCAATACTATTCTAACTACTGGTCCCACAGCAACCTTGCTTAACAAACCTACAACATCCATATCTACTACTAATGCAACTACATTTATTCTATTGGGTTGCTATCAATCTCGATTGTCCCTAGCGAGTGTTTGATTTTTCTATTTGTTTTATCCTTTTTACCAGAAGATATTTGTGAAAAATTCCCGTTAAACTGGATACTCTGTCTGTATAAACCCTTTTTTTTAATAGACTGAATTTAAAAAAAATGGCATCCTATAATAAATTAATAAATATCGGCATATATAAGTTTCAATGTTTCTATTCTAGAATTTAAATTTGATAACGGTATTATTGGTATCCTGTTTAAAACCTAATACAATCAATAACAGAACAAGAAATAATCACATGCCTTAAACATATGAAAAACAACAAAGCTAGGGGTCCTGATGATATTCCAATAGAAAGCCTTAAATCACTAGGAGATGAAGGAATATATTTCCTCACCAATCTGTACAATAAAATACTGGAAAATGAAGAAATTCCTCAAAAATGGATGCAGAGCTATCTAATTCCTATCTTCAAAAATAAAGGGGATCCACACAATTGTCAAAATTACAGGGACATAAAATTAATGTCCCTGTCTTATACTTCACGAAATAATAGAAAAAAGGACAAGAGGCATAGTCTAGGAGAGACTCAGTTTGGCTTTATGCTTGGAAGATCAACGACTGATGCAATCCACGTAATTAGGTAAATGAGTGAAAAATACAGATAAAATGACAAAAAGTTACACATGGTCTTTCTCGATCTAGAAAAAGCCTTCGATAGAATCCCAATAAAACTTATCTGATGGGTGCTACGCCACAAAAAAGTTACGGAAAAATATATAAGAATAATGCAGGATATGTATATGGGCCATATAACAATGGTCCTTAGCACAACTGGTACTTCAGCAGGCTTCACAATAGCCAAGGGAGTTTATCAAGGGTCGGCTCTAAGCCCACTTCTCTTCATAACAGTAATAGATGTATTATCACAGTCTACCGCAAACAGCCCCATGGAATATGATATTTGCAGATGATATTGTGATACTTGCCGAATCCAAGGATGAAATGAAAGAAAGATTAGTGAGTTGGATAAATATTTTAGAAAAGCGTGGACTAAAAGTAAACAGAGAAAATACAGAGTATATGGTGATAGGAGGAGATTATACAGAGAGCATTGATATAAATGAATGCCAGATATCCGCAATTGAAGCTGCAAATATTTGGGCCCCACTATACAAACAAACGGCACAATAGAGAAAGAGATAAAGAGTAAAATTAATCAAGGGTGATTCAAAAGAATTCCACACAAATTGAAGGGAAAAATTTACAGTTCCATAGTACAACCAACTATTCTATATAGTTCGGAAACATGGCCAACCAAAAAATCAGACGAGAGATGTCTACAAACTATGGAAATGAGAATGCTGAGGATGATTAAAAGATAAGGTGCGAAGTATAATACTAGGAAGTTTAAAGGTAGTGGGTATAAAGACTAAGATATTGGTGAACAGACTTAGATGGGCACATAATGAAAAGTCCTATAGACTATATACGAAATAAGGTTGTTTGGAAGTGATGGGCAAATGTAAAAGAGGAAGGTCAAAACTTCAATGGGGCTATAAAGTTAGCCAATATGAAGAAATATAAATTAGATAAAAGAGATAGCATGAATAACATAAAGTGGAGAGAAATATTGAAGGAGCTTACCACCAGAAAAGTGAAAAGCTAAAAAGAAAAAAAATTTATCCTGTTTGCATTATATAAAGTTCCACATTTATATTTTTACAGATATTTTAAAAAAAGTATAATTCGCAAACACTTAGTTTCAGTAACGGTTGATTTAAATGTTTAGTTTGAAGCATGAATGAACTAATAAAGTTATGGGTTATAAAATTTATTAAATAAGTCGTTCTGCCAACTTCATTTACCTGAATACCTCTTTATTTAGCCATTGCAATTTTAAAATATAATTTAATTATAATTAGTTACATTTTCTCTATTTTAGCCAAATGCCAAAATTTAAAATGTACACTTGAATGCCCTAATGGTTATCAAAAAGATGGTATGGGTTGTGACATTTGTAGTGTATGTTTAGAAGAAACAAATAAATGCCCCGAGTCGTCTATGTGTTTGAAGTATTGCAAAGATGGTTTTAAAAAAGACTCAAGTGACTGTAATATCTGTGAATGCAATGGTAAATCATTATAATAATTAAAGAATACTTTTGTTACTTTTCTAACAATGCAGGAACTACAAAAATCTACACATTTAATTAAGAAGAATTAAAAATAGAAATTATAAAGTAGAGTATATTTATAAAAAATAAATTTTGATAATGTAGAACAATAGCTGGTAAACCCCGCTACATATCGGTTGTATTTTGAAAGTTTAGGTTTACAGCCTATATCACATATTTGGATTTATTAATAAATTATATTTCTATAATTAAGCATGATTAGCTAATATGTTATATAATTAAATAAATTTTATAATTTACCATGATTTCATAATTAATTTTTTTGTAATCTCGTAATAATTTATCTTTTATATCATAAGCGTACGCAGCCACCTCCCCCCCCCCATCTTAAGCAAAATAAATACAGATGACGGAAATATTTTTCAAAAATATAGTTTTATATTAATTTATATTTTATCCTGTCAAATAATTTCAATTTTTTCACTTTTAAATTATTTTTTACACATATTTTTTTGATGATAACATTCAGGATCCTACTCATCTTACAAAAAAGCAAAAATGTATGGAAGATAATTTTTAAAATATTTTATTTTATTTACTCTTAGTAATTAAAATCTCTCCCCTAATAAATTCAACATCGATGTGAGCTCATGATTTCTACAAAAGAATTAATTTAAAGTGGGGATATGATCTCCATTTCATCACATATTGATAAAAATAGGATTAAAATAACTAGTGTTGTTAAACGGCGCGATTTGAGCCGATTTTTAAAAACGGCTAACTCAACATTATAGCCAGGAAAATATTGCCTAAGCGTCGAGATTTCGCCAATAGATGTTCAATACTATGTGCCATCTATGGGCAAAATATCTAGGCTTTCATAATATTTTTCTGGCTAAAATATTGAGTTAGCCGTTTTTAAAAATCGGCTCAAAACGAGCCGTTTAACAACACTAAAAATAACACAAGAAAATAGATGTAAAATAAAATTTACTAATGAGGCCAACTTGATTGTAAACAGATCATTTGGATTCAGGAAGCTTAAATTTAGATATAATAATAGAGATAATCATAGTGTTTTGTAAAATTTAAAGCATTAGGAGACTCTCCAATAATAGATAGCATTAATGGCATCAATAAAATGCTACATATCTCAGCCCCAGGATCCTCAATAAAATTAATGATATTGCAGTAACAAAATCACTTCTGCCCCATCTTTCTTAAATTTGATAGATGTTGAGCAGATGTTTTTGTGCACACTTTACATTTATATATATGTCATGTTTCTTCTATTCCTGTTTCAAGCATATTTTAAAAAATTCAAAGTAATAATTGATCTCATGATAAAATTTATTTTTTTAAAAAGTATATAGCTGAATATAAATTTTGTTCGTGAGAAAGGGTATAATCATAGGTGAACTGGCGATGTTGCGGCCTTCTGAGCAAATGTTTTCCTGCGGCCTCATCCCCATATCCCTATTTTCGGGCCTAGTCCACTTTTATCCGGCCTTCAACCGGAACTTCTTACTTGTTCATATTATGTATGCTTTTATTATTTTTTATATTTTTGAGAAAAATGTCTAAAACGGTGGATTTAACACAATAATACATTTGTTACATTTTTATTAAAAAAAAGACTCATATGTAATGATAATCCCACATTTTATTTTAAGAATTGCACATATAAAATCATACTAATTGAACATATAAAAAACATACTTAAATTCCGTATATAATAAAATATATATTGCACATATAAAATTATTACTTATTGCATAAAATCTACAAACAATACATTATATTGCACCGAGTATAAGACTTATTGTATACATATAAATTCAGGCATGTTGCAAATATAGTTTCCCAAATAGAATTTAAATAATGAATTAAACGAATATTATATAATTTTTAAGCTAATAACTCGCATTAACAAACTTTGGAACTCGCATTAACAAACTTTGGCGCAGATAACAGATAAACAGATATGGTTCTATTTTAATCAACAATTCTTTTCTCTTTTAACGTGAATAAAACAAATTCCCTAAATTAGTTTTTCATATTTTCCCTCAGCCTATATTTTATAATTTTAAGATGTTCTTTCACAATTTACCAAGGCAGATAGATTAATGTATGCAGTTGTTTTATTTAAAAAAGTAGTCCTTTGTCGAATGAATACTATAAGGGTAATGATAGATACTACCAAGTCAACCTTTAACAATTTTCTAATTATCAAACAAAATTTATTAAAATGTAATAAGATAAGACCCTTATTATTTAATCTATATTACAACGGAATCACGTGGTCGAGTCCGGCCTCCTATACATTATTCTCCAAAGGACGGAACCACCAAGTTGGGTTAAGAAAAAAAACATGATCTTTGCTGGGATTAGAACCCAGAAGTGTCGGATTGGTAACGACGCTCTAGCCGAATAGGTTACAGACGCTTTCTAAAAATGCGATTTTTCAAATATATATTATAAATAAATTTGGTAGTACCTATTGATAATGTTTGTTTATTATTAAAATGGTTAATGATAGGTACTAGTACTACCTTAAGGTGGTACCTATCAAATTTATATTTTGTTTGCTCCCACGCTATTCCTTAATAAATTATGTTAAATAATAAGAGGGTGTTTTTACATTTTAATAAATTTTGATCGGTATTTAGCAAATTAGATTCTTACTTAGAAAATTGCTTTACGTTGAATTGGTAGTATTAACCTATTAAAATAGACCCTAAAATATTAAAAATTAGTTTTAGTTTCTTTATTATACTGATTTTTATTTTAAATTTTACAGAAAAGTGAATCAACAAAAATCCTTATCTTCATTTATTCTTATTGTAAATAATGTAATGAATAACTTTTTGTAACTGTTACATGTTCTAAATAAAAATAACATAACCATTTGGTTTTTTTGAGGGGACGATGGTAACTTAGCCGTTATATTTCATAACCGTTAATTTTATTAAGCAACATGCCTACTCTGGTTGTGTGCATATCATAGCTTTATAGAATCTCATAAATGCATAGTAAGCATTGGTAACTTATTTGGAGTTACTGCTATAATTTTTATACTTTCTAAATTTGTGATCATATTGGTAGTAATTGACTAAATCGATTAAACTACTTTTAGGTTTCTTTAAAAAAATGCACCAGTAGTTGAGGATATTTAATTATTGGAAATTGGCACTGAACTAATTATTAGAGGATATACAAATTCTTTTTTTTATATCTTTATTTTTCTAAACAAACTAAATAACGCGAATCAAAATTTATATTTTTTATATAAACGAAAAATAATATTTATTTATTTTTTTTAAAGATTTTTTAAACGCGAAAAAAGTTGAAACGTTTTCTTATTTTTCATATAAATATAAAATATATCCTATAAAATAATTGTACATAAAATTCAATTAACCCCAAGAAAATAAATAATAATCAACAAGATTAAATAATATTACAACAATTATCTTCAGTTTTTTATTATCGCCACCCCCCCCCTCTCCTTACACAGCAAATTCATACGTAGGCGCTTAATTTTTATATATCCATGTCGTTGTTAGCATTTATTGTAGTTGTGCTCAATTATTTAAACCACACCACATCGCGTTTTTATTTCATACTGTCCTTACTCCTCAATACTAATTAAGAATTAACTCCATCTTGGCCTATAGTTTTGCGTATATTTAAAATATGATTTTATTCTCTTGAGAGCAGAGTGCTAATGCACACTAAGCCAGAATTATATGGTATTTATTTATTTTATTTTTAAAAACTGCCTAATAAAATTCGAATTCAAACATTATAGACCGAATAATTTATTTTTTAAAAAAATATATATAAGAAATTTTAAATATATATAGTGCATTTTAGTGACTAAATTATATCTTTCTTAATTGATCATTATTTTATATTTGTTTTAAAACTTTAAAAATATATACAATATGAATATAATGAAACTATATAAAAAAAAGAATAAAATGGAAATTGTTTTTTCAAACCAAAATAATTTTAAGAAAAGTTTAAAAGGAACAATAGCTAAATTTAAAAATGTTTATTTGTATGTCCTGCCTAAGGAATAGGAATTCACTAGGTTCGAAAGTTTTTAATTTAATTTTGTGAGTTACATTTATTCAAAAACTTAAAGTGATATGAGCAAAATTTCCGTTGGTAGAAATTGCAATTGGCGAGAATATAAAATTGTTTAGGCTTTTGTATTTATTTATTTTTTTAGTTTCTGCTTAAGTAAGCAGGCGGCTATTTATGTGGGAAGGACGAGGCACCTGTATAATCCCAAATAAGGGATTGCCCATAACCCAGGGGATAGTGGTCAGGTCTTAGGCACATCTATTGAAAGATCGCTTGTTCTGGAATATTAGATATTGAGTCTTTTTGTAAAAGAGGCTTAATAATTTGTTTACTGAAGAGTGTTGTTGATCGACCTTGACTTTTGATGCAATTGAAAAGTATGATATTGTACCTGAGTTTTTTAAATAATTTAATTTTAGAAAGATATCGGGGAGTGATTGAGATATATTAATAAATCTTGAATAGGTGGAAGAAGAATTGACCGTTATTATTTTTTTTCACAAAAAGGGGTTGAGAATTAGTTTATTCAAACAAATTTAATAACAATGCATTGCCCGATCCTTATTCTATAAAATTAAATTTCAATCAAAGTTTTAAATATAATCGTTATTAGCTAGATAAGTTTACAAGTTTCTTCAGGCCAGTCAATACATAGCATGTTTTATAGCCATATACCCTATATTAGGGTGCCATTAGAATCTTAAAAAATTTTATTTATGAATATGAATTATTACAATAAAGAATATGGGTTTAGCATAATTATTAGACACTTTAAACATCGCGACGCTTAAACACATGGGCACTTTATTAATCATATACTTTATCAATCCAATTCTTTCGACTCTATATCACTCCGGCCTTTTTCCCTCCAACACTTTATCTCTAGGGTACTAAATTACTCTGACATTTTATCAGAGTAATATTTATTACTCTATTTGATAACTCGTCACCTTGTAATTTGATACTTTGTAACGCGTCATTTAATAACGCAAGATTTATTAGGCAACCTTTTATAAATACTATGTTATGATGTGTTATCTGACTATATCTAATATACAAGGTTTCCCATTCATAGGTGAATTCTTTTCCTCCATCTCCTCCTATAATTGAATTTTTTTTTATCTTAAGCTTTCACTTTTTTTTGGTGGTAAACTTTCTCTCCACTTTATCTCTGATATCCCCCACCTGAGTTTTCCTTATCTATTTCATTTGAATCTTCCACCGGAGTATCGGTATCCAGGCCATTATGTCTTGATCTCACCCTGAAGTATCAATATCGACAGATATCTCACCGGAGTTCTATCAACAGATATCCCACCGGAGTGTTTTTATCGATTCCATCTATCATCCTTGAATAGCCCACGAGGTCAGCTGGCCATTTTCATTTTTGGTTTATTGGACAAGTATCCTAGCACCCGGCCGTCCAAGTCTGTCGGTGACTAAGGTGGCGTTTTTCAGCTCAGAAATTCATCCTAATAAATGTCCTTACACATCCGTTATCAAAGAAAAACCTGAAAATTTTTACGTTCCTTACCAGGATTGAACCTGGGACCTTCGGTTTCCAAGCATACATCATAAACCCACTAGGCCACTCCGGCAATCCTCCTATGATTAAATGATAATTTAAAAAAATATATAAGGGAAATAAAATTTCGATTGAAAAAACTATAAATTTTTTTTTTTATTTCAAATCTTTTCATTTATGGGGTCTCGTTTATTGATAATATAAAACTGGGATAATTACTTTTTACAAAGTTTAGAATCTTCCTCTGACGTAGGTGGTAATCCTCGTTGGGATCCTCGGTTTTAGAGGAGATCTAGTACTCCAACTCTTTGAAAAACGAGAGCGTGAGATCCAAACGAGTTAGTTGTGGCGAATATGGGTAGGAATGTTTAGTTAGTAGGTAGTGTAGCGAATATTTAGCGAGTTTATTCGACTCTGCGTTTATGGGAGAATCTCTATTTATATTGGAAGGGGCAAGAAGATCAATACATGAGATATCCCAGGTTAGGAATTTTCCTTTTTTCTAAAGGATCATAGTAAATGTTTTAAATTATATCATTGTTTATAAATATTTTACAATGTTTAACAAATTAATCTAGAAAAATATAGCAATATAAAAATTTTAAAGGTCAAATAAAATAAGCATGGGATATATATTTAGATTTGAATATAATTTTTAACTTAAGATTTTATGAGCTACAAAGTGGCAATTATCAAATGACAGATGATAAAGTGTCGGATTCATAAAATATATACGTGACAAAGTATCGGACTGACAATGTATAGCGTTATGAAATGACACGAGCCGAAAATATATGATAAAATTGCGCAGTAGCATTTAATATTGTGTTATGATATGAAACGCTTAATTGGTTATTTTTTTAAAAATTTGAAAAAAATATTATATGCTTTGTTTTGAAATGGGCATTATTAATTCTTTATGTTTTTAAGGTTAGAGAGTTGTGGATTAGTATATAATGTATTTTAATACATTCATTAGAATAAAATATTCAATATATTAGATAAAACATAAAACTCAATCCGCCCAACAAATGGAGTCCCTAGTCTTCCCGAATATGAGAACTTAATTCCTTGATAAACTAAAGAATTAACTATTTTAGATAGTTCTTAAGTTCCAGTATATTGAGAGATTGTTTGGATCCCCGACTTAAAAATTTTTTTTTAGTTAAATCATACTAATTTTTACCAAATTTTAAGGAATCAGGTGGTTTTAATTATGAGGATGTGAGTAAAGTTCAATGTTTGGTAAATGATTGATTCCTACATGTTGCCTGGTGATTCGCCCTCCACTGCAAAAGTAACTATGTAAGATATGTCTTTACAAAAGATATGGCCCAAACATGTATGGGGTACGTGATCTTATAGTCCAAGCGGATTCCAATAGAATTGAGCTCATAAATAGTTAATTCTAACTGCAGATAAATGAAGGAATAGCCTAAAGAAACATTTCCCGAACCTTTGTAAAAGAAAACTGAAATATTTTGGTCCTTTTATTTATAGGGTATTGAAAGTGGCGAGTTAGGTTTAATCCGTGTCCTCTCGTAATGGACTCTAGTTCAATCATGTTTCAAATGTTCCTCTCGTAATGGACTCTAGTTCAATCATGTTTCAAATGTATTATAAATGTGCATCAATAAGTTTTAGAAGTGCAACTTATAGAACAATTTTAAACTTTTTATCTTTTCCTTATTTTTTGGTTTATTGGAAATATTCAATATTAAAAATATGAATAAGGATATATATAAGTATATTTTTTATAGACATATAATACCTCGATTAATAGAATAGATTATTAGTCACATTACTGAGAGATTTTTTAAAAAACCTAAAGCACTTTTATAAGGTATCTAATTTTATTGAAAAAATTTAAGAATTTATATAATTAGGAAAAAATTTACTAGGCTGTTTACTAAAAAAAATTTGCAATATTCAAATAAAAATTTATTTTTTGTCCTTTTTATGAGCTGGATCACAAACTAAGCTTTTTTATTTCATAAATTCTTAGTTTCGAATATATTTATGAAGGGGCTTCTCTGATATCTGCTAATTCCTTCTCCAATACCAATTGAAATTGTCTACTTTCTCTTACACTAGATTATGATAACGGGAATTTGGAAATGTTCACGTTGAAAATTTTGGTCAAAATATTTTATAATTATTCTTTGATATATTTTATTAAATAATAATACAAATTATAAATGTACATAAAAGTTTTTGTATGTAAATGAAAATATAAAAAGGTTCAATTAGAACCTATTGATAGGCTAAGATTAGTAATCCCTTCTAGAAAGTGACTATATTAATGAGATGGTGAACTTAAAGAATAACTTATAGTAATTTTTATTGACAAGAAGATGTATAATGAAATAATCACTTTCTAAATATGGTTATTTCAAGCAAATAGTCTTAATAATATTTATCGGCAAAAATAAATAACATGCTTAAAGAAGTCACACTTTAACTGATAAATTTATCAGATTTTATTAATTCTTAAAAAAGATGTATCACAAAATTTAACAAATAAAATCATATAAAATTAAAACCATGACTAAAAAAATGCATGATGTTTATATTTTTCACTATTTATAAATGGACATTTATGTGTTTGCAAAAAGTCATTGCATTTCTAAAAAATGGCAAGTATATTTTAAACAAAAAATGACTGTTTTTGAAAAAGGAATATCTCAATAATTTATTTACTTATTTAAGTTACACCGAAAACTAAAATGATATGCCCAATTCTGGACACCTGCGGTGTATATTGCTCACATGGAAGACGAAAAGACTCTAATAATTGTGAAATGTGCTCTTGTCAAAGTTATTATTGAAATTTTATAAAATTTAGATTGATCATCTTCTCTTAACTTCTGCTCGTTTTTTTGTTATAAATAATTTATTGGATAGTAATTATTTTCAAATATAAAATATATTTTCATATTTTCGTTTTAACGTTCATAATGATAGGATTCGTGGAATAATTCCAGGATTGCCACTTAAAACTTAGTCAAATATATGTATGACCTTGGACTTGGTCTGATATTATTTAAATATAAATAAAACCCCTCTACATCACAAGGCTTGTAATAATAAATAAAATGCACCTAAGTAAGATTTATAATGACTTGGACGATAATGATTTAAGGAGCTCTGAAGAATTATTATAAATAAAATAAAATATAGGAAATAACATACCTATTAAACAATATTAAACAAAATTTTAGGTGATTGTTTTTTAAAATGAATTTTTATTAATTTTATTTTAAATATTTTGTAATAAAAGAGAATTTCCATTACCCCATATTAATCACAATCGTTTTGAGAAAATATTTTGTTACAAAATATTTCAAATAATGAAAGTACCAGATAGTTCATTAAAAACAAATATAAATCATTGAAAATATTAACTGGATTTGATGAGATTCGTCTAAATCTTAGGACATTTATTTATATAAATGAGATTCGACGAAGTCACGAGTCATAATTATATTCGAATAAGTCCTAAGACTATGTTGGATCAATCCAGGGGTTTTATTAAGTCCTACTGCATATATTACCAATTTACCTATTAATTTATAGTTAATATTTATTCAATACCAATTAAGATCATATTTTTAGTGACTTATTATAAAATTTTATTAGGGTTCACTAGCGCGCTTTCGCTTAGTTTATATAAAAGTCTAGACTTATTCATACAAAATTCTAAATAAAGAAAATAATTAGATTGAAATAATTAATTTTCCTTGCCACTAAATATAATCCTTATTTATTTTTTATATTATATTATAAAGGACCTGAAAAGAAGAAAAAGATAAAGTCTAAAGAATAGAGACAGAGCTTTTGATTAAACAATCCTATTCAAATTCAATTTAGATTTAATAAATATATTTTAATCAATAAAAATAGTTATCCAAAATCAAAATTTGTATTTGACTAATCAAGTAAGTTAATTTTACCCGGTCAAATATGGTCTAGTTCATATAAATGTTTTTTAACAGAGTATTTACCTTATTTCTTAACAAATAATGTTTAAATGAATATGGTATAAAATTATTTTTAATATTTGAATTGATTTATTTTTTCTCTCTTTGTTGGATCCTTCTTCTACAACGGAATATTAACTTTTTCTTTCATTTTTCATTAATCTTATGATCTTTTCCTATTATAGAAAATTTTTAAAATTTTCAGAAACCTGCAGAAATCGAAATTTTCGGCCTAGCCAGGATTGGAATTCTTTTTTATGTTCACCCGGCCAGAGATTTTAAGAAAAATTTTAAGACCGGCCGGTATTTTTTATCCCAAGCCGAGTTATTTTATCTTTTTGTCCAGACCCGGAATTTTTGAAATTTATTTTGATGTATTGCAAATTATTATATAGGAAAATTAAAAATAAGGAATATTAAACTCTTCATTATATGATTTTCTAACATTTTTTTAACTGATCAATTGCTATAATTTAAAATTTTTTAAATCAGCTAATTCATATCATTTTTTGACCCGGCTGGATTTACAGTTCAAACCAGGTTTTGGGCCTGCAGGCTCTGATATTTATAAAATCGAATCGTAAAAATATAAATTAAAACAACGTGGTTAATATACAATCAAATAAGTAAAATTCAAAAATAGATTAAATGTTAACAATCTGTACCTAATATCCACAAATGTACCAATTTTTTGATGACGATACTAAATTATTAAACCCTTTCTTCGATCCAATTTGGCAATAATTTTAAAAATGAAATTGATATTATAAGGCTTATATTATTACGCTCAAACTGAAACGCTCAGAATAAGAGTAGAATTATCTGAATTTTACAGATATTTATCTTAAAATCTAAGTCCATTTTCTGAGTGTTTCTTATATTTTTACGATTCATTTATACCTGAGCAATTTGTATTTTATATGAACATTAAAAAATATCTTAGCATTCAGTATTTTTTTAAGCGTTAAGAATTTATTCGGAGAATCTAACGATTTTTTTTCTGAGAATTTCAATTTTAATTTTGAGCGATTAAATAGGAAGGAGTCTCTAGTTTATCGTAGTTACTTTTTAGACCAATTTGACTTTTTATTTGATGAAATACATTTAAAAAAAAATCCCCTATCGTGCTTTAAGTTTTTTCATGATACTTGGTTAATTTCTAGGAAATTGTTGATTGATTGATTTTTTTATTTAACTTAAATTGTTATTATAGCCTTAAAATATATATTTCGTTTAAATTGTTTTTTTTTATAATACATATGTATATGTCGTATTGGGATATGGAATCTCGTGGGATTCGGAATCCCAATGTGGGGATTCGAGATCTTGAATCCCCACGTTTTTTTTGGAAACTTTTTTTTAAATTAAAAAAAATATCGGAATATTTTTTTTAAAAATTATAATTTTTATTAAATATTTTAGCTTTATATAAAAATTTTAATATTTAGAGAATTTCTTAAGAATTTAATAAAATCTTTCTTTTCTTTCTTTCTTATTACTTTAAGTGATCTTTCTTTTCTTTCTTTCATTACTTTCCTAAAATTTTTTATTTTAATATTTGGAGAATTTCTTATGAATTTAATAATCATCTGTCTGTATACATTTTAATACAATATTTCAATTTAATGAATAAAATTGACTCGTTTATTACTATATTTCGATATTTTTATTTTGTATAAATTTCAATAATATATTTCAATTTATTTCGACAAAGGTTAAAAAAATCACTTAAACTTTAAAGATGGGGGATATTTTACCCCTAATAAATACAAAATTTAAGATTTTATGCTAATTTTCCTAAAATTGCTTAGATTTTAAGACTATATTTCAATTTAATGAATAAAATTGAATTGATCCATTAATACTATATTTATTTAAAATAACATAAAAAAAACATTAAAAAAAAATAATATACCCGACTTAAGCAATAACTCATATTTTAATTTTTCTTTCTTTCTTATTACTTTCCTAAAATTTTTGAAAAAAATATTCACAAAAACAACAAAAAAAAATTGAAAAAACGAAAAAAAACAACTTTTTTTTAAATCTAGCTATTTTTTTATATAATAAAATTAAACTTAAACTCTGACTTAAGCAATAACCCATATTTTAATTTTTCTTTCTTTCTTATTACTTTCCTAAAATTTTTGAAAAAAAATATTCACAAAAACAACAAAAAAAAATTGGAAAAACGAAAAAAAACAACTTTTTTTTAAATCTAGCTATTTTTTTTTATATAATAAAAATAAACTTAAACTCTATTCATTTTTCCCTTTAACCACCTTTTATCTTTAATAATTTATTTTATCATATAAATGTAATTTCATCAAAACTCATTTTTTTTAAAAAAAATCCCCGAGCACAGATTCGTGGTTCAGACCCATATATTTTAAGTAATTTCTTATTGAACTTATTATAGATATAATATTGAATAGGCAACAAGCCAAGCGATACCTCGCGATGGAGATGCTATTATTGGGGGGGGGGGGGGGTCAGGACTAATTTTATGTATCAAATACGCCTAATTCTACTATAAATATATTTTTATTTATTAAGAAATTTTTTTAATTTAATCTTAATTTTCTTTCTCCTGTTTTTATAAGTCAAACCCTTATTCGAAATATATTTTTTTCTATTAAATTTGTTTTTATTTCTAAAATAAAATAATATACTTTTTTTGTCAATTTTTGCCGTCTAGTTTTTATTTTCTTTATTTGTTATATAATAAACTAATTAATATAAATTTTCAAAAAGGATAAAAATCATAAATATTTTCGCATGAATATATATTTTAAAAAAAATCGGAATTAAAAAATAAATTATTACAACAATTATTTAATGATACATGACATTTAGTTGAACATTTAAGATTGTTCTTGTAACATTCGCATCTTTTGTTCATGCAACCCATTTTGCAATTACATAACGACGTTTTCCCATAGTTTGTAACACTCCGGGAGGCTCCTATATATTGTTAGCAGTTTAAATAAATAATTAATATATTTTATATAGATGAATTAATTTGAGGAGTATGTTACTATAATAAAAAAAGCTTAAATTATCTATGATTGATATACCTTTGTCGGGAACTTCAAAATCATTTAATTTTATCGTTTTATACAGACTAGAGGCAATAAACGGTGTTGAAATTCTTCCAGCACACGTACCTACCCATATTTTATTTTTTTCAATTTTTAATATTTTCCCTACTAAATTTTTAGGACAGATATTAGTTCTATCTGTCCTATGGATAGGTAATAATACGTGATCACCTAAGATTAGGTTATTTTCTCCAATTATTTGAAAGTAAATTATGTTTTGACGCCCTCGATCATTTAAATATGAAATAAAAGAAGGGGCCCTTTTTAAAATATTAGAAATACTATTCCCAATATTATTGGTAGCACAACTATTTTTCCATATAATTTTGTTGCCAACATTTTTTGAATAAGGACTACTAGTAATATTATGGACAATTTGAAAACACGAATCTTTGTTTGAAACCTTTGCTATTTTAGTAGCAATGTATTCAGCGTTCACATAATTTTGCTCATCGGCAAACAATAAAAAAAGTGACGGCTTATCTGTGAAATAAATAAAAAAAATTATTTAATATCCCCTCTTTCCCTAATCGTTAAATAAAAATATAATTTTCCTTGGTTCCACGTCATTACAGAGAAACCATTACATAGAATGTATTTTACAGAGTAACCTTTATAGAGAAAACAAAAATAGAGAATTTATTTATAGAGAATGTATTTTACAGAGAAACTTTTACAGAGAAATCAATTATAGAGAACGTCGTTAGAGAATTTTTTTATAGAGAATGATTTTACAGAGAATGTTTTTACAGAGAAGGATTTTATAGAGAATTTTTTATAAAAAATTTTATTTAAAGAATATGATTAATAAAAAATTGTTAATCTATTAATGTGTGAATTGTGGCCAGTCAATACAGGACCAGACAATACTCATCTGTCTATTATTATTCATCGCCTTTATATATCTATTAAATAAAACTTAAGCTCTAATTTTTTGTGTGAATAATGCTAAATGCCTATGGATAATATATATGTCGTATGGGGTTTCGGAATTCGTGGGGATTCGGAATCTCTCAATTTTAAATCATTTACTAAGGGCGATTTTTGGATTTTAAACATCTGATTTCACAGGAATTAGAAATCGGTCCAATAGATAAAATGTTAAAGGGTGGTGGCTAGTCTTCAAACATGGTCATTTATGGCACATTTCCCCTAATGGTAGAACAAAATTTTGACATGATTTGTGAGGAATTCGCGAAATTTATTTTTAAAGATAAGAATAGTTTTGTTAAAAGTTACTTTGGCAATGTAACTGTAACTAGTTAAGTTAGCTTCTAATAATTGAAAAACTTTGTATAAAGATAAACAATTTTCTGTGCCGATTGTAATAATTTTCTTACAATAAAAAATACCCAATTATTCTCTTATATAAGGTAATTATAATATTTAATATTATAATAAAAACTGTAATTTTTTTTCCCCTATGTATGCAGAGCCTAAATAATGATTTCACAAATTTACACAAAAATGTTATATATTATATAGATTTACTTTTTATAAAATAATCATATTCTTTAAATAAAATTTTTTATAAAAAATTCTCTATATAATCATTCTCTGTAAAAACATTCTCTGTGAAATCATTCTCTATAAAATTATTCTCTATAAAAAAATTCTCTATAAACGACATTCTCTATAATTGTTTTCTCTGTAAAAGTTTCTCTATAATTGTTATCTCAAGGGATTCGAACCAAACCCGAACCATATAGTTTTAGGTATCTAATCATATATTATTTTTTATATTATCTATAAAAAACCAGGAGCTATAGCCAATTTTGTAAAAATCGGTTCGACTAACCCCAGTCCTACTTTGGATTTTTGTGAATAAATTAAAAGGAAATGTATTA